CATCCATCCATCCATCCATCCTTTCTTCCATTCATCTGCCCATCCATCTATCATTATGCTTTCTGCTTTGCTTTTAGAAATGAAAATAGACAAAGCAGAGGACAAACAGATTTATGTGGTAGAAGAGGCAGGGGAATAGAGGCGTCCTACATTAATACAAACTGTAAACCCAGGTCCAATAAAATGATTAATTAAAAAAAACAAACACCTGAAAACCCAGGGCTCTCTTTCCTCACACTCTCCTTTTCACGCTTCTTATAAAAGTCCCTGGGTTCCATGAGAAAAGAAAGAGCACACACATTAGCAAAGCCATGCCCTCCCATCCAGTTTGAGCTGCTGGGCAACTCCACGCCACTTGTCACCTGCCTCCCGCTCCCCCTCCAAACAGTTTCTAATTTTGGAGCCGAGGGGAGCATGACACTTGGCGTTGGGCATGTTTCCACTTAGCATGAAAGGCATGTTTCTCCACACACCGCTGGAAGGCAGGTTGGGAAACATGTCTGAAGACGGGATTGTCAGACTTTGGCTCGGCCGTCCTCTGGAAATGTCTGTTCTCCTACCAGGGGGCAGGAAGCATGGAGAGCGACTGTGTGCTCTGGCTTCCTTCAATCAAAATAATTTAATTTTAAAAGAGTTTCAATTCATAAAATAGCCCCAGCTAATTTTCCAAGGAAAGGGGGTGTATTGTGCATCTCTTCAGTCTTCAAAGAGGACGTGAGCCATGAAAAGAATTTCTATTGCAATTCCTTGAAAGGCCTAATGGGTTAATGACCCCAGTGCATTGTGAGAGGGATATAGAATGGTCAGGGGGGAGGATACCCAGTTTAATAGGAGTGTAAGCTTTTTATGATTTAGAAATTAGAGGCCAGTTTCGCCCCCAGAAGGAGCCCTGGTGGCGTAGTGGTTGCTCCTTGGGCTGCGATCCTCAAGGTTGGCAGTTCAAAACCACTAGCCTCTCTGAGGGAGACAGACAGGGCTTTCTAGTCCTGTGAAAGAGTTCCAGTCTTGGAAACTCAGAGGCAGTTCTGCCCTGCCATCGAGGGTCACTCGGAGTTAGTATTGACTGCCCTGACGGCGGTGAGTTCTGTTGGGGCACGGCACTTCCACTCGTCCTGCGGGGCCGTCATGAGTTGGCATCGACTCAAGGACGATGGGTTGATCTAAACATGGAAAAGTGATGCAAGTTAATGGAGAAGTTGGCTGCCCCTACTTTCTATTGGAGCCTCATCAGAAGACTCGTGCACTTGGTGAGTCGGCCTCGCGAACACACGCGTGAGGGAGACGGAGGATGGTGGGACGTTCTCTTCATGCCCATACCTTCTTATGTGGCCTCGCCGGGGCCGGTTTATGGGACACTTGGAAGAGGTGAAAACAGAGTGTGCATGTTCAGTTTATTTTAATGTAGGTAAACGGCTGGGGGCAGTAACTTGGAGACACCAAGTGGCTCTCAGGTTCAGGTCTTGTTAGAATGGAAGGGCTCTGATGTGGCTCACAAGATTGTACCCTCTTGCTGTAAGTCATCGGAATGCATCTCGTTAAGGTGGCTGATGTGTACCGGGAAGTGTAGGCTTCCAGATTCACACACCCGTGTGCAGTTTGAAAGGGAGACAGAAAGAGCCTTTCTTTCCCAATCTCAAAATGCCCCCGGCATCACCTCGTCACAGATTTGAGGCACTGCAGAGCCACTGGGAGGCATGAGGTCACAATTTCAGCAGAGTCACGGATGGAGCAGTATGACTCGTGCGCCAGTGTCCTTGGAGGTGAGGCACCTCGTGTGATGACTCCGTTTCATTGGGTTGGCCACCTTGAAAACACAGTGTTTCTGGAACCTCGAGCCTTTCGGTTAACAGCCGGGAACTTAATCACGGTGCCACCAGGGCACCTTCGGAGATACACAGCAGAGCACTGCTGGGATTGTCTGCTACGAACCCAGCCCTGAGCGTCCCCTACACTGCTACCCCTCTTCCAGAAAGGAACGCAAACGAAGCCAAAAGTCATCACTGGTCCTGTAATGTAAGCCTACGCCCACATGCCCATGTTTTTTGTTTCACACATCCCCTCGGTTTGGAGGCTAGTTCAAATTTCTTTGCCCAGACTGTAAGTCAGTTTCTAAATAGCAACAATTTATTCCCTTGGTGGCACCAGATCAAAGCCTAGGTCTAGACGTACAACTCTGTTTTGTTTGTTAGAGTCCCTGGCTCTATGCACACTAGAACATGGCATAGCCTGGCCTTGCGCTCTCCTCGAAACTGCTGTTGTTTTTTAAGCTTCTTACTGCAGCCAGGTGTCAATCATCTGATTGAGGATCTTCTTATTTTTCACCGACCCTCTGTTTTACCATGCAGAGCGTCCTTTTCAAGAAACCGCTCCCTCCTGACAACTTGTCCAAAGTATGTAAGGCGAAGTCTCGCCATCCCCGCCTCTAGGAAGCCTCATTCTGGTTGTTTTCTTTCCTCCTGCCTGCCTGCCTGCCTTTTCCATATCCTCCCTTTAGCTTTATTATTGACAAGTTAAATTGCACAGTGGCTTCACACAGCAGCAGGCGGGAATCCCGGCCTGCCTGGATGCCCCCTCCTTTTCTTGTGCGTGAGGAAGTCTTCAGTGCCACCCTGCCCTGGCTCCCCCTCAGGCCTTGGGACACGGGTGTAAGTTGGGATCTGGTCCTGAGAACTCCAGGGCCCCCCAGGGTTCCCCAAGCAGCTTCTTCACAGGTGTGTGTGGGGGGGTGGGTGGAGGGGAGTGTGAAGGCATCAGTTTATCTAGGTGCTGGTGACAAACAGGGCCCCTAGAATTCAGGTAGAAGGTAGAACAGGCCCCCTAGGCCTGGTAAAGCTCATCCTTGTCACGCTTGTAGAAACCCCAAAACGATGTGGCTGGGCAGGCCCACAAGCCGCCAACGGGTTTGCAGGGTTCAGTTCTCGGGGTGGCAGAGCAGTTGTGGAACCTCCAACCGAAGTTGTGCAAAATAGTTCTGGGCTAGAACATACCAGGCTCGGGCCTGAGTGCATATGTTCAGGATCTCGTTGACGAAGTCCACTCGGAGAAGTGGAGCGTGTCGCCGTGGAGTGAAGGAAGAGGTTGGGAAGCTCTTGTCTCAGTCTCTCCTATGTGACAACCAGGTGCTCCTTCCTACTGGGATCCCCCGAGGGAGTGGCAGGGGAAGGCTGGGCAGTCCCAGGGCCTTGGAAAGGTATCCAAGCCCCAGGATAGGGGCAGAGAGGTCCTTCAAAGAGACTATAAGCCCATCCAGGCAGCCCCTGTGCTGGTCCCAGTCCTGGTCCCTCCTCTCCATTTCTGGGAGGAAGCACTGCCCCTGGTGAGTTGAGAGCAGGAACCTGAGGGAGAGCAGCCAAGGAGCGTGGCTGAGCCAGAGGGCTTGGGGGTGGAGGAAACCAGAGGAGGGAAGATGGAGAAGTGGCAGAGAAGCTGGTCCTGGGTTCGAGCTTGGTAGGCACTGAGGCAGGGGCAGACAGGGCTGCTACATGATCTTCCAGGGTGGAAAGCACACCTCCGGAGTCTGACCTCCGGCCTCCTTACAGAGGTGAGTGCCCGGAGCTGGCTTGGTGATGGACAAGGGGAGGCAGGGGAAGGGGCTGAGGGGACTGAAATAGATCTGTCACAGGCGCACCTGGGTTTTAGTCACATCTGGATTTGTTTGTTCTGCTGGCAGCCCGTGGTACCTTTGGCACTCTTCCCCCAAGCCCTAATTCAATTCCTCCTCTGCAGTCTCCTTCTTCGTCGTCCAACATTTTGCTGTTTGGACATCCACACAGCATCCTACACCCATGACTCTCTGGTGGCATGTCTCACCAATGAAACATCTCTAAATCAACACTCCCTTTCTAAAGTCATGCCTGGGCCTCCCCTGGATGCTACCTAGTCCCAAGGTTTCACATGCATTATGAGGCAGTGGAAAAGCATGGCTTGGGTCTGGTGCATCTGAGTCCTCAGTGGGATGTTTGCTCTTGAACACTTTCTGGAAGGTTGTGAACAAGTCTTGCTCCAATCCTGGTGCTGTATTCTTCTTCCTCTACTGCAGCTTCTTGGATTATTTGCTCAGCCTAGGATTGAATGAGCACGGTAAAAGACTACAACGCTCACGCACACCTTTCTTGATTTTCAACATCACTGTATCCAAATAATGTTCTTTGGACTGCTTTCTGATGACATCTACATGGCTATGGGTTGCAAAGCACTTTACCATTTAAACATTCACGCAGAAGCCTACGTACGCACATGACTTTTCTGGTGGCATGTCTCACAAACGAAACATCTATGAATCAACACTCCCTTTCTAGTCATGCATGGGCTTAGCCTGGATGCTACCTAGTCCCAAGGTTAACCTTTATCTTTTTATCTAACTTTTCTTTTAATTTCCAACCAAATGCATTAGGTCCTCGGGCTTAGGTTGCTGATTCCAGTGGGCAAGCTCCTCCGAGGCTCACAGACGACTGGCACACCCTGTGGCGAACGGAGCACATAGCCATTCCTGTCTCAGGTGGCTGGCTCTTCTCCACTCAGGTGTTCTGCAGTGACTCACTCCACTTCCCCTCACTGGTCCCCCATCCTGCAAATGATCTTTTGGAATTACCATTTTAAAGAGTGAAAATAGAAGGGTGACAAGGGGAAAAAAGAACTACCTCTCAAAGGGAGGAGACATCTTCTCAGCAAATCCTCAACAGAAATACCTCAACCTTGATCCTGAAGGACGGGGGACTGGGGACCTTTCCAGCCGCTCTTTCCTCAATGCTCTGCCATCTTGCCCTATAGCCCTGAGCTTCCGTCCTCTCAGCAAGGGCTCCCCGACTTTTCTGCATACGTCACTCTGCCGAATAGTCAGCCTCCAGAAAATTGAGCCCCCTTTTCTGTTCTTGTGTGTAAGAGGAAAGATGAGGACAGTGAGAATTTACTGAAAAAGAATTCCAAAGAGCACATTCCTGGGTCTGCCACTCACTCACTCTCTCACTCACACACACTCTCACACACTCACTCACACACACACTCACTCTCACACACACTCACACAGTCACTCACTCACCCTCCCACTTACTCATACACTCACACACACTCACTCACTCACACTCACTCTCTCACTCACACTCACACACTCTCTCACTCATTCTCAAACACAATCACTCACACACACACACTTTCACTCACTCCCACACACTCCCATACACTCACTCATACTCCTACATTCACATACACGGACTCACTGCACACACACACACACACACACACACTCACACACACACACACACACACACACACACACTCACACACACACACACACACTTTCACTCATACATTAACTCACACACACTCACACGCTGACATACACACTCACACTCACTCACATACACATACACATACACATTTTCACTCACTCACACCCTGACACACAAACACACACTTGCGCGCGCACACACACACACTGGCACACACACACTGGCACACACACACTCACTCACTCTGGCATTAAGAAGGTCACGTCCTCTAGTTGTGGTTTCACTTCCTCCTCTCTCACTGGAGGGCTGGGGTCAGAGCCCTCCAAGGCCCCACCCAGCGCTCTGCCTTCATTCCGAGCTCCATGGAAAGTGGTCTTTGTGGATCTGGACCAGCCCAGGAAGAGCAGCTGAGGGAGCGCCCAGCTGTAGGGACTGAGAAGCTGACAGTGCTGTTTGGGGTGGGAGTGGCA